GGAATTTGGTAAAGCATTCATGTCCGCCTCACAATGGATTATTATCATTTTGGTGATCCTGACACTTTACACCTTTTCCATCATCAGCTAAAAATATTCAAACTACCCAACACTTTAGAACACCCTCAAACTGAGTTACAGCCTCAGCTATAATTTGTAGTTAGTTAATTAGTAAATATTAACATGCTATGCTAACCAGCTAGGTTAAGATGGTGAACATTATGCCAGCTAAATATTAGCATGTCAATGTTGCTGTGAGCACGTCAGCATGCAGACTTGCATTTAGCTCAAAGCACTGTGCATCCCATATAATTAATTTCTAAATATATTTTTTACTGCATTATAAAGTGGCTTATATTTCAGATATAAAAATATGCTTTTAAAAGATTTAATTAACTAAAAACATACACATATACAACACACCCTAACACTCAGATTACTGAAAAATTATTTGTTTTACTGTGTTTAATGCATTTGTAGGCAAATATTTTGTTTTAAATCACAATATTTACAAAAGTGATATCACCAGGGAAATAACTTAGAAGTGTATATTTCTACTCGAGAGAGATAAACAATACAAATTTACTATGTCTGTGTCTATGGTTGTACATAACATCCTAATTTGTAACAAGTTAGAGAGTTAATTTTTATTTAAAAATAAAGAGAGTGTACACATTTTTTTTAAAATACAAAAAATCTGGAATAGTTATCATCAGTTTCTAATTGCACCAAACAGCCATGTCTTGCAAAATGAAGAATGTGCAGCAGAGGATGTATCTAATTTGGCAGCACACACATCACAACCAGTCCTGGTTTACATTTTTCATCACCTTAAAGCACCTTTTTGAAAGGTATTTCTGCTTTCCTGAATCCTGAGGACAAACTCCAGTTCTTACCCATGCTGCTGAGTGGAGTTGTTGCCTGTCAAAGGCCCCTCCCATCAGCTGACACAGGAGCTAACGAAAGGGCAGCAAGGACTGCCAGCCCACCTCTCACCCAGGTGACCATCTGTTACAAAAAATTGCCCCCTTGCTCACTCAGTGAGACCTCCTGTCACCTCAGCAGCTTCATCTCATGAGCTGTCATCTTGCCTCACTAGTCCTGTTACTGAATGAACACTTTCAGCCTTCACCACCAGCAGACATGATGATATATACCAAAATTATCATTCATTCAGTTTGTCATATTTGAGCAGACACTACATAATACTGCATTTTTTCAGAAGACTGGAACTGTCATGGGCTGCAAAGTGGGTTGCCGGTTCACGTCCTGCTGAGGACACACAGGATCTTTCTGCATAGAGTTTGCATGTTCTCCCCATGCAGCATGGGTTCTCTCTGGGTTCTCCGGCTTCTTCCCACAGTCCAAAAATATGCTGAGGTTCATTGGTGATTCTAAATTGTCCGTAGGTGTGAATGTGAGTGTGCTTGGTTGTCTGTCTCTCAGTGTAGTCCTGTGATAGACTGGTGACCTGTCCAGGGTGACCTCTGCCTTCACCCTAAAGTCAGTTGGGATAGACTCCAGCCCCCCGTAACCCCGTAAAGTGAGGATCAAGCGGTGTATACATAATGGATGGGATGGAACTGTCACATCTTCTGTTACAAAATCATCAATCATTTTGTAATATTTGCTTTACTGTTGTGACTGTTTGAATCACAAACTTCCTGTCTTACTTACTGGATGTAGACTGCAGGTACAAGCCTGCCATTTCCATAATGCATTTGACGTGGCTTTCTGCATTGGCTCCACTATCTACATGTTACCATTTTTCAAATTCCTTTCACTAGAGAAAACAGCAACCTCCATGCAGCATTTTACACACAGAAAATGTCTAGTTTTGCAGAGAATTTAAATCATGTTCTATTTGATTTTGCCAAATTAACCATTTTAAAGACAGTACTTCTGTCCTTGCGTACAAATACTCTACTAAAACAACAACACTGTTTTACAGTGGCACTGTCACTACAGCCAAGGCTTAAGATAAACCACAATGATTATGATTATGGGTTTAAAGAAATACAAACACTCCAGAGTGCTTATTCTTTTGATATCAGAATGATAATGAAATTCAGTGGTCACAAGGAACCTCCATTAGTCAATCACACTTAATTTAAATTAATTATTTCTGCTTTGTTTCTCTGAAGTTGTACATGTGGCCAAAACTAACAGTGGATGCTTCAGCAGCATCTTCACAAGGTCTTTTGCTTTTGTTCTGGGGTTGATTTGCACATTTCGCACCAAAACACTTCATCTCTGGGACACAAAACCCGTCTCCTTTCTGAGCAGAATGATGGCTGGACATTGCCACGGTGTTTAAAATTGCATATAATTGTTTGAACAGATGAACGTGGAACCTGCAGGCATCTGGAAATTGTACCCAAGGATGAACCAGACTTGTGGAGGTCCACAATTCTCTTCCTGATATCTTGACTGATTTCTTTAGATTTTCCCATGTTGTCACAAAAGGAAGCAATTTGTTTGTTCGTTTAACTCATATGTAAAAATATTGGGTAAATGTCTGGTGCCGACTGAAACCTCCTTGAATGGATATTCTTATCAATTTGAACTGTTGATTAGCACCCTGTGTATGTTAAAAATGACATATTTTGTGGCTCCACAATTGCAAATTAACTGTATGTCTAGATAGCAGCGCTTTTTTGCCTGCCCACTTGTATAGTTTGTGATTTTTTATATTTTTATTTCCAAAACTGTATATATCAATGGTAAAAAAGTTTATGTTTTGTGCATTGTGATTAAAAGACAAACCAAACGAACCACTCTTATCTGTTAAGGCTTATAAAATGTACAGTGTTCCCTCTTGACTGGTAGGAGACTTCAAGCTAAACAGACACATTTTTTCCTCAGTGACAGCAGTTCCTCCTCATTGTTTGTGCTGAAAAAGAACACACTCAGATGCACCACCTGACAAGACACACTAAATTATTAATTGATTGAAAATGTCACAAAGGCTCATATAGTGGTGGGACAGTTAGTTATAACACTATTGTGTGAATAGAAAAAGCTCTATAAACTAAATTAAAATCAATTAAAAGTCATGACTTGGTTTGATCTTGATTTCATTGCAGGAGGAAGATTTACATGAGGGAGCCTCAACTCAAAGCATTTCTGGCTTTGACTCTGCTGCTTTAGTCTACAACCTCTGAGCAAAAAAAGGGTCAAATTGAGAACGAAAGGTTAGTTCTGTTGAGAGCAATTTATAGTTCAGGTTTACAGGAGGAGGCAAAATTCTGATTTAGCAACGGTTACATCTTGCTCTATCTTATATAGTATATGTAAAAAAAATAAATCAAATATGTTAAACATGCAATCAAAGTGTGAATAAAAATGGTATCTGTTCAAGCATACTGTAGAAACACAATATGATATTTTACTGCCTTATAAAAAGGACCAGGGACTGCACGGTGGCACGGTTAGCATTGTCGCTTCACTGCCAGAAGATCGTTTGCGTCCCGTTGGGACGCCTGGGATCTTTCTCTGTGGAATTTGCATGTTCTCCCTGGGCAGCATGGGATCTCTCCAGGGTCTCCAGCTTCCTCCCACAGTCCAAAAACATGTTGAGGTTAATTGTGATTCTAAATTGTCTGTAGGTGTGAATGTGAGTGTGCTTGGTTGTCTGTCTCTAAGTGTGGCCCTGTGATAGACTGGTGACCTGTCCAGGGTGTCCCCTGCCTTCACCCTAAGTCAGCTAGGATAGGCTCCAGCCCCCGAACCTATTGAGGATTAAGTGGTGGATAGACAATAGATGGACCAAGCTGCCCCCAAGTGACCAAATAGTAAAATGCACATAGCATGGAAATGTAGATAAAAATATACACTTTTAAAAAGTGGAATATACTCTTAAACAGTGATGGCAAAAAATAACTAAGTGCATTTACTCACTTACTTTTTGGACAAAGATTTCACATACAAAACATCTACAAAGTTTTGCACATTGTTGTAAACTAAAATACCCAATATCATACAAAACTGTTTGAAATGAACACCCCAACAACCACCTATAACACTAAGATTATGTCAAATACTCGTCCTATATTTAAAAATAATACTTTAATAATGTTTAAAAATATATTTTTTTTCTTTTGGCATGGCAAATTGTAATGAGTAAAAAATGTAATCCATGCATGGGTAATTGGATTCAGACATATACTCAACAAGTTCCTACAACATTAAAATGACCATGTAAAAAAAATCATGTAATTGAACAGCTGAAGTGAAAAATATATTCCTAAATTCTGTCATGCGTAGTGACTGAACATTTTTGTTCATATTTTTGTATATTTTCTAATTACTTGGAGGGGATCATTTAGAATAAAATCTGTACTCAATAGTAATATAATAACATCAGCTCACAGAGAGGTGGAGCTTAAAGTCCTCGCAGCCCACCATGGAGCCCACACGCAAGCCTCAGCCCTAGCGTTACCATAGAAACGGCCTGCTGAGCAGGGGGACGCCTTAAATGACTTGTGATTGGTCAAATTGAGCTGTCGTGAGGTCCTAATGCTACCTTTGATTGGTGTATTAGACTGTCGCTCTTAAACACTGCAACGTGATAGGCCATTAGCTACATTTGCGGCCCGCCTTAGTGAGTAAGCTCTTGCAGCTGCACACAACTCAGAAAAAAGCGAGTGGAGGAGGTGGTATCATAGAGAAGAGAGCGGAGGTTGGTTTGTTGTCGGGAGCGAAAACTTCATCTGTTAGTGACTATTTCTTGACGTTTTGTGTTTACTTGGAATTTGACAAAGTTTGACAAAAAAGTTTGGAGAAATGTAGGGACTTCTCGGCTGCTTCACGATGGAGGAACCTGGAGAAACAAGGCAAGTGGTAAATGTTAGCTAACTTAACGTTAAGTTTAATGTTGTTGGCGTCAACGCTGTTATTTTCTTTGTTTAGAAGTTGATGTGCACACTTAATGACAAGTATGTCTACACAGTCACACATATGAGAGAAAAACTATTGGTGTTCCCCACAGAGAGTTTGAGATGTCCCTGTCAGACGGTGGATCGGACGACGACATCCCCTTAACGCTACCCGCAGATGGCAGCCACAGTGGCAGCATCCGAAAGGTGAGAAAACTCTTGAAAATATTTGAAAACGCTTATTTGTGTAAAAACGGTTTACGTCAGAGATTGGAATTTGTGTACATTATGTGAAAGAATAAGTCACGTGACCGTATTATCAGACCTCCATTCTTACGTATACAAAACATAAACAAGAAAGAGACATCTCTACGATTTGGGTTACTAAACAAACAAACAAACAAAAAAAAAAAAACATTAAACCTAAATTTTAAAGATAAAATTGTCTTAACTGGCATATATAAGCAGTGAGTGTTTTCATAACATTTTGGTACATTTTGGGCTTATTTTGTCACCTGCAGCATTGTTGTATGAAAATAACAAATTGTATTGTTTTTCTTACCTCTGTAGGTGTTTCACTAATGCTAGTGTTGTCAAATTTATTTTAACATATTGACTTTCTATTGGTCAGCCCAACGCTTTGGAGATTAAAAGAATTTGGTTTGTGAAGTTAGATGAAATGAAAAGTACACCAATGTGTTTTCACTGAAACTATTTGTCATAATGTCTTGAACAGGTCATATGGAGACATTTGTTGGGAAGTCAGCTTGCTTATGTTCAGGGCTGCTCAAGTGTTGTTAAAATTTAGGAGATGTGCATTTCAACTTGGAGCCTCTGCAACCTATGGTTACCCATAAAACTCTCCTCTGTGTAGGTCAACAAAGATATGTTGTGCATCTTCACAGAAGCATGATGCCAACTTTACTGAGGATTATCCACATGCTTGTTTTGGACTGTTTGTGTAGTATGAGCTATTGTGGATTTCTGGAAAGATCTGCTATTTTAATTTTTTTTTTTAATTATTATTTTTTTTAAATGTAGGTACCATAAATTTGATTTCAAGCACTTAGGGTTGTAGTAGAGGTCTCAGCGGGAGGTATTGCAAAATTCCAGAAAAAAACACAAAACTGTGGCTAGATACAGCAAATCATAAGTTCGAAAATATGTTTTGTAATTAACTGATCCTTTAATTATCCTAAGATATTGTGGGCACAATTAAAAAGTTAAAGCTGTTTTGCACTTTCATTTGCCCTGGCACTGTTCTTATGTAATTTAAAGTAAATATATGAAGCAGTATAAATTGAAATATATGGATAATTGTGTTCTCTAAAGATGATCTGTGCACCTGAGAAAAACATGGATGAAAAAAAAAATGTGATTACAGACAAGACATTTCACCTTCTGCTGCTCAACTGTAAAGTGAACTCTAATCCAAATGAAAAGATATACTGTGTGCTCAGAGAAAGACACCTGTACATTGAAGGATTTTGATGCAGGCTTTTAGACTTTTATCTGCACAGATGTCAAGCAGCCTCTATCCTCCCGATGGCAGAGCAGAGGTGGGAGCTCGGCCAGAGGTCTAATCCACACAGGCACTCTGAGGATTACTTGACGTGTGCATGCTAAACAAACACCTTAACTGGGTGAGAGGCAATGAGAAAGATCAAGGAAGAAAGAGTTTGAGGAAATGAGAAATATCTATATACTAAACAACTTGTCTGGCAGAGGGACAGAAGGTGATGGAAAAAGTCACATTGACAAGGAACGGGAGTATAAAGCATGTTGACAGTATCTGTCAAGTAACTGTACATCTGTTTGCCTTTAAGTGTGAAAGAGTGGTTCATTGTATGACACACTGCTGAATTTAGTGAGCAGACATTTAACATTTGGCTGTGGGGAAGCTGTTCTGGTGTTGCTGGCAAGTCGCCCGTTGAAGGGAGATTTAAGAGGCTGTTAAATCTTCAGACAGATACACAGCTCTGACATATTACCAAGTCCTATTAAACATATTACCTAGCTGGGAGAAGGTTCTCCTGCTGTGACATTGCAAATTATTATCATGTTAAGCATTCACAATGCTTTTCCCTCCTAAGCTCTTAATTTTACCACATCTCTGATGTGCTTTTTGACATTTCCTTCATCTCTGGCATGATGTCCTGTCCAGCACTGACTTTTTGCTTTTTGCTCTTAACTAACCCCACAGACAGCTTTCTGTCCAACCTGGCACTAATAACCTATATCAATTAAATGTGTACAACTGAAGCAGCACACAGAAAACAAGACTGTTCATACTACCTACTAAAATTATTCATTTTACCTGTTTGTGTAAGGTGTACATAGTGTATATAGTCTTTAGGATCTTTTTTGTTTTAAATTTTATCTTTATTTTCTATTTTTATATATTTTTACTTGCTTTACATATTGCTCTATCTATCTATCTATCTATCTATCTATCTATCTATCTATCTATCTATCTATCTATCTATCTATCTATCT